TGATGAAGCTTTGCAGCTAACGATTTAGAAGCGAGACAGCTTGGAGTGGAAATCTAAATTTACTTTCACAGTGGTTGTCAACAGTTTGAGCGTTTGATTGAGGAAGTAGGAGTGTTTACGAAGCCTTTATAGATTGGCATCGAGGCCTTATTTCATTTTCATCGTCTCCTAGTGTTTTTGTTTCTGTAAATAGTAACAAAAGAAAAAAAATATTATATATTTGTTGAATGATGAATTGCTATTAAAGTCATTCAGTTGATAAATGAAAGCTTTGATATGTTTATTACGAGTGTGCGGACTTTATTCTGAGTACGTAATTTCGTTCCCCTCACAACATGTCCCATGACAAATTACGTGTATCTCAGAGAGACATGGAGGCGGCCGGTACATTTATCTTTTGATTGTCTTCGCTCAATTTCATGTAATTTCTCGGCTGACGGCACAAATATTGTTTGTTCGATATTCGCATTTACTTCTAGAGTTACGCAGCTCATTACGATGTTTGTTTTACATATAAAATACATTTATGTTATTAAATGATTGTATTTTAATAGAAATAAAATGTCAACATACATCATTTTAATGAAAAGATTCAGTACTAAGACATTAAGATTAATATTTTACTGCTATAACAATAACAAAGTACGCAACGTTAGTGAAACTAAGTTATATGTAAGTTTTACACTAAGTTGAATACTAGCGCGATGTTCCCGGCGGGAGGCGGCATCTGAAAATTGCCTGTAAAACTTAAATTGTTTATACAAACTAGTTTTCAGATGATAGTAGCGCTAGTAAAAGATTTTTTTAAACTTATTTGTGTTTTAGTTTTACAAATTATTTGACGAGCGCTTACATTACCATAACGTTGAGGTAAGAAATAATTTTACTTTAGATCTGTCAGACAAAATCAATAATTACTATGTTTGAGTTTAATCAAATTTTGTTTTATTAGTAGGTTTAGTTGCCTTAACTAATCTAATAATAATCATTGGAATAAATAAAACCTCTTTGGACTGAGACATTTCGTTCCAATTTCAAATTAAAAAATAAACACAAAGAAAATACGAAATATTGTAGTCCAGTAACATTTTTAAAATATTTTATTTATTCCATCGTTTCAATAATGAAACGTCAACATTCCTAATTGATTTCACACCAATTAAGTTTTCGTTGTGTTCAATATATTTTTTTAAAATTGGAAAGTTTTTTGTTTTTTTTTTAAACATTTATCACAATTTATACATATATCATAGTTTATTTTAATGCAAAAGTTAAGTTGTATTGATGGAGATGTTCGTAAGAAGGTAGCTCCAGAACGATTGCAAGGATTTGGAGATTAGGTGTAGAATTCTGTCCGTAACAACGCATAGGTTATTATTTAGGTTTTTTTCAATGCCGAACGGGTGCAGTCGTGAGCGAAATCTAGCTTGTCATCTTCTTCTTCTTCGTATTCTTCATTACCGAAGGACGTTCTTGTCCTGGTACGCCTGGTAGCTTGTCATATATCTATGTATCTATGGACAGTAGAAGCAGAAAACATTTCAAATAAAAGTTTTATTTAGCATTATGTACAACAAAGTTGCTTCTCCAAATTGAATACGGCAGCCGCAAATTTACACTTGGCTGCGGTAACTAAGAACGTAGAGCTTCACACTAGCCTCTTAAGTTGTTAGGAGGGATGGAAACTAAGTTAGAAAGTACCAACTCGTGTCTAATACTACTGTTTTCGTATTAAACCCAGTCTTATAATGGAATTGTGAGAAAAAAAGACTTTTAAGTACTTGGTAAGTCGAGATAAACAATAAAAACTGGCATAGACAATCTAGATTTACTCGTTATAAACTGTATTACGAAAAGATAAATAATTTTGTTACATTTTAAAACCTTTTATAAAACAACAACTCTTTTTGCTAAAATACCGAGACTTAAAGTACAAAAGAAGAGAATAAAACACTACCATAACTAATGTGAACTTAATTTAAAAGTAGAATTATAAACCATATTAAAATAGTGATCATTACGATATCCCGTGGTGGAATATTGCTGCATATTTATGAGGCAATAGTGAACGCAATGAAAATGCAAATAATTTAACAGCTGAATGCTTGGTGAGTTGCTGAGGCATTCCGTGATACATATCACGCACTATTATACCAGCTCGCTTATAATATTCATAGTAATGGTTACATTCTCTTAGTAATATTGAATGTCAGTAGACAGACATAGAGAGGGAGGGAGGACATTAAATCGTTGTTCGATATGAGAATTTTGTAATTTTAAGGTCATTTTTTTTAAGAATATTAAAAGGTGACGTGAATAGAACAGACATACCGAAGAATTAAGAAAAAACACTTCCTTCTGTTAAAATGACTGAAAAATCTTATTGGCGAAAAATTTTACATTTCATTGTGATTTCAGTCTCAATTTAGTTTAAATAAGGAAAATATATCCTGAAACTAAAGTGACCTAAAGCTGGCGTTATATACAACCTCCACAGAGTTCCGTGTGTCCACCTCGTAAACTGGATTTACGCCTTAAACTTTACCTCTAGTGGACTTACTTACCATTTACAAACTTTAAATTAAGCAATTTTGTACTCTAATACCAACATGTGCAGTGGAAATTACATTGTTACGTTAGTTTATACTAAACTCTCGAAATAAATGATAATATTTAAAGTCTAAACGTGTCAAACGAGCAAACGTTCATATGATATCTATAATAAGTTAAGAGAAGGTATAGAAAAAGAAAATTTTCCTTTCATTGAAATCTTTTCTCTCGCAAAATCCTCTCTTTCTTTTCAAACTATCTCGAATATTATCATATTCTTTTATTTTTATTTTTTAAATATTCATCGTTATATTAATTTTGTATGAACATTAAGCGAAGCAACCGATTACTTACGAATGGAATTTTTACGTTCATTAAATTAAATGATTATTTGTTATCAGTATAATATAAGTTTACGACGTTATGCTCTTATTTCTTTAATTGGCGTCTTGTAAAAATTACATTAATTAACTCGTGTTTAATTAATTGCTCTTAAATCAATTAATTCGATTAAATTATTAAAGGATTAACTTAGCTTTTAAACATACATTTAAATAGCAAACATGTCGAAAAATCGGAGTTAGAGCCTCCAGAATCTTACTATCATTATAAATGTAAAAGTTTAGATGGATATTGTCACGGGCGACAGCTAGTATCAAATAAAAACCGTAGATCCATACCGTAGGATTTTCTCGTTGTCATGACATTTATATTATAACTAGCGGACCCGACAGACGTTGTCATGTCTACACGTCTTTAATTCGATTATTATTTAAAATTTGACACTGCGATGGTAGCGCCGTCTGTTGGATCCAATGTAAAACATTCCAAAATCAACAACTAGTAATAAATTAAAAATTAATTAAAAAACACTGTCCAGCGGACAAAATTGTGAATCTAAACCATTCCCAGATCCCCTTGAACACACACAAAAAATTTCATCAAAATCGGTCCAGTCGTTTGAGAGAAGTTCAGTGACATACACACGCACAGAAGAATTATATATATAAAGATATACACTGTAGTCTGGTTGTGATACAAAAAGTGTTATAAATAAATTGTAAATATAAGCATAGCAATATTCCCGAAATGGAACAATTCGGTTTAGATTGCGGCGCGCGGTCAAGATAACAAACAGCCAATGAATTGTGACGCTGTCGGTTGTTATTCTTGTCGTGACACTCCGCGCACACAATGCAACACAACACGACACGCTGCGGCGTCCATATTTTAATATATTTATCAAGTATTGGTGTAGATAATTTTTATATGATAGAATCAATCGCATTAACTTAACAACTACATTCTTATTTGTAGTGCATTTTGAATTTTCTGATCAGGGAGGTGCCCAAAAAAATAGAATGCCGTGTATCATTAACGGCAAGCAAGACTATGGCCTAGTCACCCTTAACTTGGGGTAGGCTCCGAGCCCCTCGGTGGAGACGTATAGTGAGCTGACGATGAAGCCACTGGTTCGTCATCCCTGATAGAGACAAAGGCTAGAATGGAGTTTTAGTATATAAATCTGTATTCTGAAGCGAAGTTAATGTTTTGTCCAAAATGAAAAGATATTTGATAGTAAATATATAATTGGTCATATTTGAAAATGTATTATACAAAAATAGAAAACGTAAAGATGGATATTAAAATCGGAAAAGTATATGAAAATTTAAGGGATTTATATTAGGAAGTTGGCTTACGTGGAAATCTTCACAAAGAATTTATTCATAAAAGGGGCTCTATGTGTATATCCCTTTGTTTAATATCAAAACAGAGACGTTATTTATTGAAAAAGAATGGTTTCGAAATTAAAAAAATATTTATGTTATATTTCCTTGAAACACTTTTTGTTAATTGTAACAAAATATTATGGATAAAATCTTTACACTTTATTGAATAAGTACGCTTTTTGTTTAGATATACGGATGCATTTTTTATCTGCAATACAGATTAAATAAAATAACAATCCACAAAGTTCTCAAATTAACTAGAGTAGCATCAAAACGTGCTTTTTTCACAGCCTAATCTGACCGAGTTCGCGTCGAAAATATAACGCAAGTTAATAAGATAATTTATCTGTTATTTGTTTATTCAAGGGATTACTCTATATATTTAAATAAAAATAATATGCGTTCCTATATGAACGATAGTTTGACGACACAAAAGATTGGTGTTCTAAAAAAAACAAAAGTTACTAGTGTAATGGCTGACAATATCAATTTTTGATAAAGAATGTCTGTTTTTAATTAGTCTGTGATCAGATACACTCTTATAAAGAATAAATAGTACACGTTTGTTGTAAATGAATTCGAAAATACGGATCCACAAAGACATTGCCTTTGGGCAAAAATATCTTTGTTTGATGTTAATTAACGTTCTTTATCATTTTAATGTAATTGTTTGTTATTGCAAATGATATTGAGGATATTTCAAGTATAAAATAAGCGCAATCAAACAAAGTAATCCAGTTTTTACTGAAAACCGCCTGTGACATTATTAAGGTAAATGTTTTTTGAAATTTAAATTTTTTAATCATTTCATTTTGTTCGTACATTTTTACTTTTTAACTATTTTAGCAATTTTCTTACAGACCAGAATGAAAACTATCATATTAGCACTTCTGCTAACCACAGTTTTCAACGGTGGCGTGAGTAAAATTTTATCAGATTGTTCTTTTCAATTAACAAAAATATATTGTTTAATCTACGGAGTAACTTTGAAAAACAGCCTTTAAAAAACCAAATAGTTTGAAAACCATGAAGATCTGCACGTTACGTTTGCGTTTTACGTTTGCGAAAAAAACAGTTCAAATTAACCGTCCATATTTTTTGATTGCCAAATTATAAATAAGATAAATGTCAGGCAACTTAAGCACTTGTCTTCTTCTGGATCAGTATAATTGCAGAAATAATATGTACCCTATTTAAAAGAAAGTGTGCAAAAATTAACGTTTTTGACCCAGTTAAAGTTATTATGGACACGAAGAGCAAAAAGCTATTTTAAATTAAAAAAAACAATTATAAATGTAGTTAAGTTTTGAGTAATGGGCGACCACTGTCCCAGTTTATTTGGCTGATAATATCTACAAGCCTTAAATTACTTAAGACGTTGCGTTTGTTCCGTACAATAGCTATTAAATTATTGTTTCAGAGTGCCCAGGTACCCGCCGCTGGTATGAATCAATCATGTAATTTAAATTAATTGAATACTTTTTGTTCTTGTATTAATTTATATATTTTTCTCAGTATTTGGCCTACTTCAAGACACAACACAAAGTAAGCGAAACTTAAATAATATATTTCATAATCAAAAACAGAAAACTTAATATATAGATAAGTTAAATAAAAAGCAGCTTTTCAAGGCATAAATTCGAAAAAAAATAAATAAATAGTATCCTATGTCCGTCTCCTGGCTCTAGGCTACCTCCTCACCAATTTACAGCCATATAAGTAAAGCCGTTCTTGAGTTATAAATAGTGTAACTAACACAACTTTCTTTTATGTATATATAGGTAGATTTGATATATTCCATACATTTTAATTGGCAGATGTTGGCGACACCGTTGATGCCGTAGTTCCTCCAGGTACGTTTTCTTATATGAAGTATTCGAAAGACAATAACGTGTTTGTTAAACTTGAAGTGTTTGGTGGGAGCATTTTGCACAGTGCTGGAAATTCTGCAAGGGTAGAAAGAATGTCAAGAATTTGATATCCTACTGTATTCGAATTTAATCTTTGATATACATTTTTTTATTTTTGAAGGAACTGTCCCCGGTGTCAATGTTGGCGGTGAGCGATTTTTCAATTTACGATCTTTCATTCGTTCCTTTAATTATTTCAGAGATTGCTTATTGCATAAGCAAGATTTTTTTTATTAATTTATCATTGTAAAGGACACAATAATTATTGCAGATAATTTATTTGTGTAAAAATATGCATACCGGAGATTTAAAAGATTCCTCCTTTACTGTAGTAAATTAAAAAAAATTACGACTTTAATATTTGATAATTAATACTTGTTTCTGGCCGCAGATACTGTACGAGGACTTGGACAATCGTCCTAACTAACTAATCGGACTAACGTCTTAGAATAAACTAAATTGGTAAGAAATGCTAAAGTTTTTGTGTCAAATCTTAGTGAAAAATTCATACAAAATCATATTGTAGATTTAAGAAAAGACAAAATATAAAGTCGTTTAAAGGCGACTCGAAAAAATGCGAATGTTTAGATAGATGGATGTTTGTAGGTATTTTCAGAACGGCTGAACGGATTTCGATAAAATTTGGCATACATATAATACTTACTCCGAATGAACACGTTGGGTACTAATTATGTTTTTTTAATACCGCGCGAACGAAGTTGCGGGCGACACCTATTCAATGCAATTGACAAGTATTTAAATGATTACTTTCTTTGTTACAGGTATAAGGATAGTACTTCCTTCAATATATTTTTATATTATTAAGGCTCATGTGTATTTAATACTTCATGTTTAATTTGGCTAAAATGTATTATAAAATAAACAAATTGTTCTGTTATTTTACGCGTATTTATATGTAGGTACAATCACATTTTACAATTATTCTATTCCAATTAACCAATCTCTTTTTTTTTATATTTGTTCAACAATATAAAATATTTGTTGAACAAAAATACAAATGTGTTAAGTCATGTGTACTTCACATAACTGTCCAAAGTGTTAAATGTACAGTCCTTCATTATTGTAACGCAATTAAATGGTATAACTCAAGATTCTCTAGTCAGTTTTTGAGTTTAAAAATTCATAAAAAATAACACCCGCCTGCAAGGACTATCTTTCAATTAAAATAAAAATGTTAACCTTTTGAGTCAGTCGGAAACTCACCCTAAAATTCTCAGATTACTGAGTACATCAAGAATGCGCTCTTAAAATAACCTGACTTCACCGACAATATAAACCGACTTATCGAGTTCATTTCTCTTTAATGAGTTTAAACAGGGGGATTAAATAAATCAACCATAATCAGT